CCCCCCCCCCCCCAAAACCAAAAAAAAAAAAAAAAAACCCCATCTCCTCTATCTAGTTTTTCCTTCCCTCTATTGTTAAAAGATGGAGTAATTAACTTAACTAATCTAATTTTTTATATTCTTCTCCTTTGTATTAGAAACTAAATCGGTTCAATTGCTCTTTTATTATTTCTCTAAAAGAAAGAATCATTATAGTACATTAACGCACTTTGTAATGTATTAGCAAAGGTGAATCATGAATTTAAAAGAAATCAAACATCAATATCAGCAGTGAAGTTTGATGATATAAAATTACGAGAGTTGGAAAAGGAAAGTAAGACTTTTAGAATTTTTTTATGACTATTCTGTTAATGATATCGGATACAGTGATATGCTAAGTTAAAGCTAGAATTTTTAGTGCCACAAATTATAAATGCTAGCTCACATAAGTCACTCTTTTTTGGTCCAAACTATGACATCTTTAGTCTTTATCAAGATCACAATATGCCCCCATTTAGCAACCAAAAGACCACAATTAATAAATAAAAATAGGAGTAACTAAGATTTTTTCAGTTGTTCAAGAGAAAAAAATCAAACCAACTACTTTACCAGATCTTTACTAAATTATCAAGCAATTTGTGAAGTCCAAATCCAAAAATGCTCCCCAACCACTAGATTGTTTGCAAAATCTTGTCTTGGTAATATAACGGTAATGTGGTGAAGAATATTCAGTGGCAGTTGTGTCTTTTTTCCCAAAAGAACACAAAATTATTAATAGGGTCCCCAAAGTTTCATGGATAGAAATTTTCCAATCTAAATTTTCCTATTTTCTTTCTTTCTCTCTCTCTCAAAAAAACTTCAAGAAACAGTAGAGACATTTCTCAAAGATATTCCCTTTCTCTCTATCTGGGTGTTTCCAAGATCTGATTTTACTCACTTTCTCTCACTAAAGATTGGATCTTTACATAGTTATTTTCAGTTTTCAACTTTGGCATTGTTGTACATGTAATAGAGATCATTGACAACTGTTGTTTTGTTGAGCTTTTTATTTATTAGTGGAGCATTTAATAAAAGCACTTTCATTTCCAGCTATACCCCAAAATTTGTTGTCATATAGTGCTTCCCACACACTCCTTTTTTTAACTCATTATTGGATCTTGAAATCTTGAACAAAGTTTCCATCTTTGCCCTTGCTGTTCTGATTTGGGGTTGTTTCTGGGTTTTGACTGCAAGATTTTTGGCGGGTCTTGTTTGAATCTGATCATTTTTGGGGTACTTTTGGTTTCTTGAAGTTTGTTGATTGATTCTTGGAGGTTTTGCTTGAGCTACTTTTGTGATAAGGCTTTTGGCCTTTACTTATTGCTAGCTGTGGTTTGTGGTTTTAATGCTTGCCACCTGAAATATGCAGCCTGATCAGAGGAAAAAGGTAAGACTCTTTCAAATTTGTCAGCTTAGATACTAGTTGAGGCTGTAAGTAGTATGCTAGAATCAGTTACAGCAATAACCTAGTTGTTGTAACACTTAGATTTATTGTTCCTTTCTTAATAGTAGTGATTTTTGCTTGAGTGTGTGTGTGTGGGGGGGGGGGGGGGGGTCTTTTATGCTTTAGAAAGTTCATATAATGATGTGATCTTCTGATTGGCTACCAACTTTAAATTCGGCCAATCTTTTTTTTAATAACGGTGGTGTCTAGACCAGCTTGCACCTCGACTATTCTATTAGATATCTACTACCTCCTATCAGCCCACATACCGGGTAACTCTGCCAACCAAGGCTTAGGAAGATGGGAAGGAATCACCTAGTGCTTCTTGCCTCCGCTAGGATCGGCCAATCATTTATCTGATTTAGGACATTTGGTTGGAGGATTAAAATATTGATAGTTGTATGATTTAGGAACCTAGCTAAGTGGTAACTGGATCTTCTTTTCGAGCTTTGATATGTGGTGAGGTCTAAGGCTAAGTGGAATGTCAGACCTAATAAATGTAGTCACTATGGTACTATGCAAGGTAAAATATATGATCCAAGCCAATCGAGAAACAGTTGTGGAGTGAATCAAATAGTTTAACTTGTATGGTTTTGATCAAATGGAACGATTGAATTGTTCCGTAGCTTGTGCAGGTTGGAATAGCATAGCTGCACACTTCGAAACATTTCTATTACGAGATAATGTGTTGTAGCAATTAAAGTATTGTATAAGATCCATTTTTGACAGGTCTTGTAATCCATCTTGTGAATTATTATATGAATATGCAGGGGTCTGCAGATGTAGATTTCTTCACTGAATATGGTGAAGGGAGCCGATACAAAATCGAGGAAGTGATTGGCAAAGGTAGCTATGGTGTTGTCTGCTCTGCATATGATACCCATCTAGGGGAAAAAGTTGCAATCAAGAAGATAAACGACATCTTTGAACATGTCTCTGATGCCACACGTATCCTTCGCGAGATCAAGCTTCTTAGGCTTCTTCGTCATCCAGATATAGTGGAAATTAAGCATATCTTGTTACCTCCTTCTCGGAGAGAATTCAAGGATATCTATGTTGTCTTTGAACTTATGGAATCCGATTTGCATCAAGTCATTAAAGCAAATGATGATCTGACGCCGGAACATTATCAATTTTTTCTTTATCAGCTTCTTCGAGGGCTAAAATATATACACACAGGTTTGTATGCATTGTGCATTAATTACTACGACTTTCCTCCACAAAGGACATTCTTATATACTTAAACATTTACATAATATTTCCAATTCTAATAATGCCTCTATATTGGAATATTATGCAGCTAATGTCTTTCACCGTGACCTGAAACCCAAAAATATATTAGCAAATGCCGACTGCAAGCTCAAGATCTGTGACTTTGGTCTTGCAAGAGTGGCCTTCAATGATACTCCAACAGCTATATTTTGGACAGTATGCTTCTTAATGCTCTGTGCAATACTTTAACGTTGAAACATAGTTCTATTAATGAGCTTAGCAGAACATGTGACATCTAACATCACCTGATTTATTGTTCCTGTAGGATTATGTTGCCACGAGGTGGTATAGGGCTCCCGAATTGTGTGGATCATTTTTCTCTAAGGTGTGAATATACAATTTTCTGCTTTAGATAATTGTTCTGATCTATTGGTGAATTAGCTATGGGTTTCTTCGTTTATTATGATAACAGCACATTCTAAGACAACATTATTGTGACTTGTCCTCAGTATACACCAGCAATTGATATATGGAGCATTGGGTGCATATTTGCAGAACTATTAACTGGAAAGCCTCTCTTTCCGGGTAAAAATGTGGTTCATCAATTAGACTTGATGACCGATCTGTTGGGCACACCATCTTCAGAATCCATTGCCAGGGTATGTCCCAACATGTTTCCCGGAACTCAAGATGTTTTACTCTGATAGCTTTGTGGCTAATATATGGTTGCTTATCTGCCTATAGATAAGAAATGAAAAGGCTCGGAGGTATTTGAGCAGTATGCGTAAGAAAAAGCCTGTGCCTTTCTCCCATAAATTTCCGCATGCAGATCCCCTTGCACTTCGTTTGCTAGAAAAGATGCTTGCTTTTGATCCTAAGGATCGTCCTACTGCAAAAGAGGTACAAATACACTATGTCTATCTGTTTCCAAAAAGTTGCATTTTTTGCGACTCCAGCTCCTAACAGGGCCTTTATTCTTGTTCAAAATTCAGGCTCTTGCAGATCCATATTTCAGGAATCTGGCCAAAGTGGAAAGAGAACCTTCTGCTCAACCTGTTACAAAAATGGAGTTTGAATTTGAAAGGCGAAGGGTGACAAAGGAGGACGTGAGGGAGCTAATATACAGAGAAATTCTTGAATACCATCCAAAGATGTTGAAGGAGTTCTTAGAGGGGCAGGAACCAACAAATTTCATGTACCCAAGGTACATTTGGCTCAAACTGAGTTTTTCGTCTTGTCTTTGAACTTGTGTATTGCATGGTTTTCGTCGCATTCATACGTCTTATGTTGCATGTGCATGTCAATGAGTTCATAGATTGCATCTATATATTATGTTTAAGTTCCAGTATTGCAACTCAGGTGGCATGGCCACGACACCGTGTTCTCTTAGAAAGGTGGATAGAGTTGAAAAGTTTCACTACATTTAACCTCATATCCTTTACATGAAGTCTTCTCCATCATTCTCTCTCTTTCTTCTGTTTCGTTTCTGCTATTTTCTTAGTTAATTATAGTGCCGATCTCTCCCATTTCGCATGAATGTTTCCCTTTTCTTAGACTTAATAATCAATGTAGTTCTAGGTTAAACTGCTTTATTTGCATTGTGAATCAGAGCAGACTTTTCCTCCTTGGGGTAGTTCAGAGTTCAAAGGAACTCTTAACTTCAATTTCAAGGTAGACAAACTTTGCAAACTTTTCTAATAAAGGATTAATAGGAGTGGTTCTTGTCTTGTTTTCCTCTTGCGATTTGATACAGTAGTTCTAGTTCATGCAATCAGCTTTGACCTAGAAAGGTGTAAATCTAGATTTGTGATACTCTAGGAAGGTCTTGGAATGAAACCAACCCTGTTCCATATGATGGCATGTATTATTTTATTTTGAAAGTAATTCATCTGGATCTATAAACATCCCATTTTCGGATGTGGTAGTATCCTGATCGACCCTCATTTTGCCATTCACAAGTATTACTCCCTACATTTCAATTTAGATGAGGTAGTTTGACTCGGCACGAGTTTAAGAAGAAAAAAAAGACTTGAAATATGTGGTCTTAAAAGCTTAAGGAGTAAAAGTTTTTTGGGGTCATGAAATTTGTATGGTTATAAAAGCTTCTCATTATGGGTAAAATGAAGAGTTTAAAGTTGAATTATTTCCAATTGTAGAAATGTCATTCTTTTTGGAACGTACTAATAAGGAAAGTGTGTCATCTAAATTGAAACAGAGGAAGTATAATTCATGTACAACAACAACATATGCCCAGTGAATTTCCACAAGTGGGGTCT